GTGAGATGGCTGGCTTTTTCGTTGTTACTGCCAGCTGGAAGCTTTGCCCACAGATGTGGACTGTTTATCTGTGGGTTTGATGTGTTTGTTTTCTTTTTTTCCTAGGGCAGGGTTGAGGAGGTTGTAAGGCTGGGACAGAGAGCAAAAATCTGAAAATTTCAATTGGTTAGTTAAATGGGAAAGCTAGCAGGGGAAGAAGAGACTCCCCTTAATTGCTCAGAATGTTGAAGTCATTTCTCAGAAGTATACCTCAACCCTAACTCCCAGTTTCTGTTGGTTACCCCACTCCTGAGTGCCTTATATAGTGCCTGGCAGGTATAATGGGTTAAGTTCATTGCCATGGAGATGCTTATATAATTTGCCAAGAGGGGGCAGGGGGCAATTGTGAGACAGCTATACATGAGCATTTCATGAGACTCCATAAGCAGAGCCAAGAATGCTGTGGAAACCTGGAGGGGTCATTGGCTAGAGAAGGCTTTGTAGATTAGGCAGCAAATAGGATGTTACTTTAAAGATGGAAATGAAATAGCACGATTCAATGTGGAAGAGAGAGCAAAGGAGTGAAGAATTATTCTGTGAGCATGCACTCATCACCCTGTTCTCCAAGGTAGTTACTGTTCCATCTCGTAACCCCTGTCTCAAGCAGAGAGGATATGCAATTGTTCAGGTTTTTTTTTTTTTTTTTTTTTGCATTTTCCCTCCTTTGTCTAGATTAATGAGGACAGAGGGGTAGGAGATGGTGGAATATACAATAGACTTTAGACTTAGCTTAGAATACCATGTGAGGATGGGACCTAAGGATCAGTTCTTTTTTTTCTTAACTTCACAAAATTTTAACCAACTTTCAGTCCAGTTCAGTTCAGTCGCTCAGTTGTGTCCAACTCTTTGCGACCCCACGAAGCGCAGCACGCCAGGCCTCCTTGTCCATCACCAACTCCCGGAGTCCACCCAAACCCATATCCATTGAGTCGGTGATGCCATCTACCATCTCATCCTTTGTCGTCCCCTTCTCCTCCTGCCCCCAATCCCTCCCAGCCTCAGAGTCTTTTCCAAATGAGTCAACTCTTCGCATGAGGTGGCCAAAGTATTGGAGTTTCAGCTTCAGCATCAGTCCTTCCAATGAGCACCCAGGGCTGATTTCCTTTACGATGGACTGGTTGGATCTCCTAGCAGTCCAAGGGACTCTCAAGAGTCTTCTCCAACACCACAGTTCAAAAGCGTCACTTCTTCGGCGCTCAGCTTTCTTCACAGTCCAACTCTCACAACCATACATGACCACTGGAAAAACCATAGCCTTGACTAAACAGACCTTTGTTGGCAAAGTAATGTTTCGCTTTTTAATATGCTATCTAGGTTGGTCGTAACTTTCCTTCCAAGGAGTAAGCATCTTTTAATTTCATGGTTGCAATCACCATCTGCAGTGATTTTGGAGCTCAGAAAAATAAGTCAGCCACTGTTTCCCTGTTTCCCCATCTATTTGCCATGAAGTGATGGGACTGGAAGCCATGATCTTAGTTTTCTGAATGTTGAGCTTTAAGCCAACTTTTTCACTCTCTTTCACATTCATCAAGAAGCTGTTTACTTTACTTTCTGCCTTAAGGGTGGTGTCATTTGCATATCTGAGGTTATTAATATTTCTCCCAGCTATCTTGATTTTAGCTTGTGCCTCCTCCAGTCCAGTGTTTCTCATGATGTACTCTGCATATAAGTTAAATAAGTAGGGTGACAATATACAACCTTGACGTATTCCATTTCCTATTTGGAACCAGTCTGTTGTTCCATGTCCAGTTCTAACTGTTGCTTCCTGAACTGCATACAGGTTTCTCAAGAGGCAGGTCAGGTGGTCTGGTATGCCCATCTGTTTCAGAATTTTCCACAGTTTATTGTGATCCACACAGTCAAAGGGTTTGGCATAGTCAATAAAGCAGAAATAGATGTTTTTCTGGAACTCTCTAACTTTTTCGATGATCCTTCAGATGTTGGCAATTTAATCTCTGGTTCCTCTGCCTTTTATAAATCCAGCTTGAACATCTGGAAGTTCACGGTTCACATATTGCTGAAGCCTGGCTTGGAGAATTTTGAGCATTACTTTACTAGCATGTGAGATGAGTGCAATTGTGCGGTAATTTGAGCATTCTTTGGGATTGCCTTTCTTTGGGATTGGAATGAAAACTGACCTTTTCCAGTCCTGTAACCAGCTTTATTGAGATATAATTCGCATACCACACAGCTTATTTAAAATGTACAATTTAGTGAGTTTTTAGTTTATTCACAGAGACATATAAATGTAACTACAGTCTAATTTTAGAGCATTTTTACCACCCCAGAAAGAAAGTCTTCCCTATTTACAGTTATTCCCAATTCCTCTCATCCCCCCCTCTGCAGCCCCAGGCAACCCCTAATCTGCTTTCTGCTGCTGTAATGAATTTGCTTGTTCTGTCCAGTTCATATAGACATAAACAATATGTGATTCTTTGTGACTGGCTTGTTTCACTGAGCAGAATGTTTTCAAGGTTCATCCATATTATCACATATATCAATACTTCCTTCCTTTTTATGGCTGAATAATATTCCATTCTACAGATAAACCACAATTTGTTTATCTATTCATCAGTTGATGGTCATTTAGGTTATTTGACTTTTTGACTGTTATGAATTAATGCTGTGTACAAGTTTTTGTCTGGATATATGTTTTCATTTTTCTTGTGTATATACCTGAGTGGAACTGCAGGATCATATGGTAACTGACTCCTTGTTTCACATTTTGAGAAACTGCCAGACTGTTTTCCACAGTGGTGGTACCATTTTACATATCTATTAGCAGTGTTTTGGGGGTTTGGTTTCTCCACATCCTCACCCATACTTTTGTTATTACCTTTTTTTCCCCCAGCCTTTCTGTTGGTTTGTGAAGTGGTATGTCATGGTGGTTTTTAATTGTTTCCATAATAACTAATGATGTTGAGTTTCACATGCTTAATGCTGTATGCATATCTTCTTTAGAGAAATTTTTATTCAGATCCTTTGCTCATTTTAAAATTAGGTTATTTGGTTTTTTATTATTGAGTTGTAAGAGTTCTTTATATGTTCTAGACACCAGATCCTTATGAGGTAAATGATTTGCAAGTATTTTCTCCCTTTCTGGACATTGTCTCTCTACTTTCTTAATAATGTTCAGACAAGATTTTAATGTTGATGAAGTTCAGTATATATCTGTTTTTTCCTTTATCACTCTGCTTTTGATTCTGTATCTGAGAAATCATTGCTTAACCCAAGATCATAAAGATATTCACCTGTTTTATTCTGTGAGTTTCATAGCTTTAGCTCTTGCACGCAGGTTTTGATCTGTTTTGAGTGAATTTTTGTGTGTGATATGAGGAAAGGGCCTAGCTTCATTCTTCTGTGTGTGAAGTTGTTAGAACACCGTTTGTTGAGATTATTCTTTTCTTGTTGAGTTACCTTGGCACCTTTTAGAAAATTATTCGACCATAAATGTGTGAGCTCATTTCTTGACTCTCAGTTCTGTTCCATTGGTCCTACATGTCAGGATCAGTATTTTGAAAGCTCTTGGGGTGTAACACATACAATCTGGGTGGCGAGCGTTTGGACAGTTTGGTTGGGAGGCAGCACAACGCGAGGTTGCTGAAGTACTTCATGAGAGACGTGCAGATCATCTGTTGTTAACTAAACCAGTGTTTCCCAAATCGGGCTGGCAAGAGTCACCAGGGTCGGGGAGTTACCCGGGAGACAAGGCCTGGGAAGGGGTGGGGAGGGGACCTGTGGCCTGTAATTCTGGGCTCTCCGACCTGGACGTTTTCTCTTCACCAATTGCCAGGTGGTTGAAACCTCCAGCAAGCTGCTTGTTTAGTGAACTGTGGCCAGTCCTATGGTCACTGTGCTGGAGTGATGCAGGATGTGCTGGGCCAGACCAGTGGAAGACTGTATACCTGAACGATGGTCCTTCCACAGAATTTTTTTTCTCACAGCATTCTTGGGGGGAAGCTATCACTCTGTCTTAAGGAAGATGACAAGAGAGAGAGCTCCTTGGAACTCCTGTCCATGTTTATTGTGAGCACTTCCCTGGTCACCTTATTTATTGCCTTCTGCCATATATGGGGCTTCCTTGGTGGCTCAGAGGGTAAAGAATCTCCCCACAACGGGTGAGACCTGGGTTTGATCCCTGGGTTGGGAAGGTCCCCTGGAGAAGGGAATAGCTACCCATTACAGTATTCTTGCCAAGAGAATTCCATGGACAGAGGAGCCTGGCGGGCTACAAGCCATGAAGTTGCAAAAAGTCGGACATGATTGAGAGACTAACACTTTCAATTTTTCTGCCATATACACACAAATATTTTATACCTACATTTCCTTCTCATTTGCCTTGTTTATTTAAATTTCTGATTATGGAGGAAGTATATATAATTCAAGGACATTTGTGTTGTCTGCCCCACTAGCCTGAAAGCTTCATGAGAGAAGGGAGTTTTGGTTGATGGGAATGTCTCCAACACCAAGGACAGTGCCTGGCACATACTAGGCACTCTGTAAATATTTGTTGAGTGAATGAAAGGCCTGTCAAGATCAAACAGTGGAGAGGGCAGCTTATCTCTTTCAGCATCAGCAGCAGTCACTCTGCTTAGTTTTAGCTTCATGATACTGTGAATCATCAAAGCATGTGTTTCTCTGTATGAACCACTTGAAGATTAATGCCATATTTATGTCCACTCTAATGTGCTTGTAGGACTAACCTCCAAACTTTTCATTTATTTACTGAATTTGTCTTGTGTGCATCTTTGCAAGCTGTCTAAAATCACCTTTGAAATCTAGCAGGCTGTAAATAAACGCTATTTAATTGGCTTTGATGAGAATTTCTTAATTTTAATCTTTCCTCCTGATATTCTAGGTTGGCAGAGGAGAAGAATTTTTTTAAAATCAAATTCCTCTTTCATTCTTCCCTCCTTTTTTTCCCCCTCCCTTTTTTTTAAATTTTAATTTTTATTTTTTAGGATAGAATTTTTGCGGCATTTGAAGAGCTTTTTCCAGATTATGTTTAAAATCGAAACCAAGCCATGTGGTGAAGAACTCAAGGGAGGGGATAAAGTGCTGATGACCTGTGTTGGCGTTGGCTTCTCCAACCTTAGCAAGACCCTCAAGTGACATTGTCAGAAGATGAAAGGCCCAAAGGCTTCTAGACAATGCAGAAGCTGCCAAGGAACCAAAGGGACCAGATTCATCCAGGACTTTCCTAACTTTCTGTTTGAAAACAATCAGGATATCCAAACAAAAGACGTCTCTCTACCTTGTGGTTTTCAGTCATTTCTCCGGGGCAGACATTCCTCAGGAGGCCCAGTCACAACGGGAGCTCCCTCGGCTTACCTGGATGAAGAGTGTGCCTTTGGGACACAGTTGTACTGCTGCAGCATCACAGCTGCGTTTTAGCACTGCTTCCTGAGCCCACATCCTCAGGCTTCCGCCGTAAGGCTATCTTCCAGACCTTTGGAGTTTCTCACAGTTCCTTCTGCAAGGACTGACCCCCCTGAATCTTGGTTTCTGTGTAGGGATTAAATGAGATACTATGAGTGGAACCCCTTTATGAATAATGTCATGTCATGCAAATGTCAGAAATTGGTGTGTTAGACTATTTTATCCCTTGTCTTCTGAATGGACTGCTATCTTGGAGATACACTGCTCCCCATCTGGTTCATTGTATGTGGATTTTGGGGGAATGAATGACTAGGGAGTGCAAGGGTCCAACGAAAGTTATTGGATGTTTTCCATATCTCGGGTGTGCTATGCATGTTCTCATTTTATTCTCCCAATAGCCCAGTGATGTAGATTTTATTATCCCCACAAGAGAAATTAAAAAAGGATATTTTGTGCCTTTTGAAACTTGATAATAGAGCGATATTAGCTCTCCTGATTTCAAGATCTAAGTATCAGAGTCTGGAATTTTATGCTGCTTGCAAGCTAGTAAGGTAGATTATTACTGTTTCATGGATGCTAGCAGAAAACATGAAAATCTCCTGCCATAGACAAAAAGCTTTATTACTCAGAGCACAAGAAGCAGCATGAGCTTCACTGGTTTCTTTCTCCAAGTCCCACAAGATGTGGAGGGTCTGCAGGTATGCCATGCACAGCAGTGGTCTGCATCACAGGCAAGGAACATGCACATGTGGGAATTCCACCTCTTACAAGCCTGCTCTTTGTTCAAGATGGGGACATTACTTCACCCCTCAAGACTGCTTGGTGTGAACATATGATAAGAAAGGGCCAGGATAAAAGCCTCCCCAGCAGGAATGTGCAAGAACACGCCGGACTTGTGGCGATTGTACCTGCTGCTAGTAGAGGCTACATGTGGTGTGTGTAAGGGGTTCAGAGTTATTGGTTGTAGGGGAAATACCTGATATTTCCATTAGGATTCCAAAAGATATTGTCTACCAGGATGGACTTTTGAAGTAAGGCATGGTCTTTACCTCCCCAGGTCGCTCAGTACCCTTTTCTTTTTTCAGTAAAAGGGGTCCAGAGGAAGTTTGTGCTCTTGTGTCTGAGGTGTGGGAGGATGTGGAGTGGGGAGCTAACATTGACAGATCAGGCCATTTTGAACTGTGGTTGTCTACTTACTGAGAGCTCTACATGCTGTATTAGATTTCTGTTGCTGCATAACCAGTTACCACAAACTTAGTAGCTTAAAGTAGTACCATTTATCATCCACAATTCTATAGAGGTCCTGGTCTGCTTGCTTGGATTCTCTGGTTATGGCTTCACAAGGCTAATGTCAAGGTGCTGAGCTCTGGGCAGGAATACATTTCCAACCACATTTGGATTGTTGGCAGAATTGTTGGACTGGAGTTCCTGTTTCTGGCTGGCTGTCAGCTGCGGGCAACTCTCAGCTTGTATGTAGAAGCTGCCTGCATTCCTTATAACTTGACTCCCTCCATCTTCAAGCCAGAGACGATGTATTGAATCCTTCTCATGCTTTGAATCTGACTTCTTGTGATACCTTATATTAAGGTCATCTGGTCACAGCAGTACCTAGGTTAGTGTTTGAATAGCCAGGGCCAGGACTCTTGGACGTCTGAAAATTCTGCCTACCACACATCAGTTCAGTTCAGTTCAGTTGTGTCCGACTTTTTGCGACCCCGTGGACTGCAGCATGCCAGGCTTCCCTGTCTACCACCAACTCCCAGAGCTTACTCAAACTCATGTCCATTGAGTTAATGATGCCATCCAACCATCTCATCCTCTTTTATCCTCTTCTCCTGCCTTCAGTCTTTCCCAGCATCAGGGTCTTTTCCAATGAGTTAGTTCTTCACATCAGGTGGCCAAAGTATTGGAGCTTCAGCTTCAGCATCAGTCCTTCCAATGAATATTCAGTACCGATTTCCTTTCGGATGGACTGGTTGGCTCTCCTTGTAGTCCAAAGGACTCTCAAGAGTCTTCTCCAACACCGAAGTTCAAAAACATCAATTATTTGGTACTCAGCTTTCATTATAGTCCAACTCTCACATCCATACATGACTACTGGAAAAACCATAGCTTTGACTAGACGGACCTTTGTTGGCAAAGTAATTTTATTTAATGCTGTTGACGTTCGAACCCAGATCCACCCATGCTCAGATATAGAACTAGGGAACCACATGGCTTTGGCTGTGTCCAGCAGGAACTTTCTGTCCCTTGGGACAAGATTGGGAAATGGGTCCTGTTGGTCAATTTAGGGTGACATGTAGACACTGGGCAGATCATTACAGCCAGTATAATGGACGTGAGCCTCCATCTGGTGTCAACATAAAAGTATCTGATGGTCTCCAGCCCTCTGACTGGTACAGCTGCTTCTGGAGTGGTAGTGGTGATGCAGTAGGCAATAGGAAGACACATTTAATATTAATATTTATTTAAGCAGCCTGCTGTCAGCTCCTTCTCAGGTGCCCAACAGAAGCAATAGGTCTCCTTGGGTGGAGGTTACTGGTACTTCTTAGTGACATTCTGCTCCTGCAGTCTCTGCCTTGTTCTTAGCTTAGTTCCTGGTTGGTGCAGCTACCACTAGTATAGTTTGATGGGAGATTCCAGCACTTTGAGCTTGGCTGTCTATCTTGACCCCTTTACTTCCCTCTGTTGACAGAGACAGACCAATCTGAATTCAATAAGACTAATAATTTTTTTTTTTTAAGACATATACACATGTTTTAGGGATCATGACAGAATCATGGCCTTGCCTTCCTGTCATGTTCCAAGCCCTGCTTCTGTCTTCTACCATCCTTCTCTGTTACCTTCTGGGTGGACACCAGCCAGCCTCCTTCCATCGTGATTATTTACCATATTCAACAAGACAGTTGATAAGGATGGGGGGGAAGCTAGGGTGTTGCAACATGACATGCGGATGGGGAAACAGCAGGAGGAGGCACTGCTGAAATCCAGATTGCCCTCAGAGGGCAGCTGAACCTTGTGGTTTGTTTGTTTGTCTTTATCTTTTCTGATAAAAAGTGGTGAAGGACATCATTGATTACAGACCCAACCAAAAAGCCCCCAAACTTGGGTTGCACTGTGGTGCCTGTCCTCTCATTGTCACTCTACAATGAAAAATGGTGAAGTAGCCATCCCGCTGGGTCTTTCCTGGGCTGACAGTTAGTTTCGAGGTGGCCAAGTGGAAGAGAGAAGGGTGTGAAAAGGCAGGGAAGAAAGGAGACGATTCGAGCAGAGGAGGCCTAAGGAAGTGGACAAAATTGTAGGTAGATGGAGAAAAGGAAACCCCAGGGAACTAAGGGATTACTTTAATTTTGGCTGTGCCTGAGGTGGGGGTGGGATTCAACTGGTGAGGTGAGGGGGCCAAAGCAGGGTGCAGAGTGGATTTTTCCAGGGTATTGGTTATGGTGGGCGGATTAGAGTGTGGGGCCTCATTGACTTTACATGTTGGTGCTTTTTTGGAGACGTGCTGGTGGGTGATTATAACAGTCTGTGATGGATGGAAAAGGAGCATCACAGGCCTTGTACCCAGCCTGGTCCTCTGCTGTTCTCATCTGACTCCAGAGTGGAGGAGAAGTAACTTGCACTCGATCAGAGTTTCCATGTTTAGACCACCCTGGCCTGTTCTTTAGAAGTGACCAATAGTTAAGAGGAATGTCAATAGGCAAGCATAGTTTTTCTGTACTGTGGTTGACTAGGTCTGTGAAGACATTTGAGTGGGATAATTTATCAGTGTTTGGCCTCTTACAGAGGCCAAGCCACTTCACTCCTTTACTCAAGCAAATAGGGCTGTCGTATTTGTCAGGAGCAGCCTAGGTCCAGGACTCCTCTAATCCATGTCTTTCACTTGGCCCTTAATAGTTAGTTAGATAGCCTGACTCCATGCCCGAGGCACTGGCCTTTGGTCAGCATCTGTAGATGGACTGGGGCAGACCTTTTGGCACATGGTCCACTTCCTGTCTTTCTGGTTCTTCTGATACTGGTGGTTCTAGATGTGGATCCTGCTCTGCTGACGCCCTTGTGTTAAGTCTACAGGGGAGGGGATGCTGATCTTGGGAGGTAAGAGGCCCAGCTTGCTTTCTGGCCCATTTCAGCTACTGACCAGCAGTTATGGCATAAATATTTCACTTCCACACACTTGGATTGCTTTTGGGAAATCAGGGTGGATGTATGAGGCCTTGTACCCAGCCTAGACCTCTGCTCTTCCTCACCTGACTCCAGAGTAGGGGAGAAGTAATTTGCACTCCATCAGAGTTTCCTGGTTTGGGTGCCCCCAAAACCAGAAAGATGACCTTCATTGCCTCCTCCATGCCACTCCCATCCTTATAACATCCAGATGTTTCTCTGAAATCTCTTAGACACTCTTTATTACTGTGTTTTTCCCCCCCATTCCCAACCCTCTTAAAGAGCTTTACATATAAAAATTTCAATTTGATTAGTTTGCTAATAATTTCTACTGTGATATGTGAAATTTATTCAAACTGATGAAGGTAGGTGAATTTCTAGAAATCAGAGACTGACTTAAATGAACTAGCCCAACAATGACGCATTTGGCAGCTTCATATGTCTACTCTCTGAATACCCTGTCACCACACGGTCCTGAGGGTGGTGGACCTGCTGTTGGACTCACCAGTGGCCATTTGGGTAACTGGTCTCTTCTTGGGAGTGAATGCTGCTCCAAAGGAAGAGGAATGTTT